GTTATCATTGCACTGTGTGGATGGTCTTTGAGAGTAGCCTTGGTAAAGCTCAAAGACCTAGCCGTGACAATCTGGAAAATCAGTCTGCAAAGGGATCTGGCAGCACCTTTGGGACTAACTGAAAGAGAGAAGTTGGGAGCATAAGCTTTCGTAGACCTAAAATTTGGTAAAATTGGTGAGACTTAAATTAGTCCCACTATATAGGTTAATGCTCTTCTTTGCTGTAGTTGTTGTGTGCCTTCAAGTCATTTCCAACTTATGGCAACCCTGAGGTGGACCTATCATGAGGTTTTCTTGGCAAGAGGGGCTTTGCCATTGCCTTCTCCTGCAGCTGAGAGTGTGTGACTTGCCCAAGGTCACCCAGTGGGTTTGCATGGCTGAGTTGGGATGTGAACCCTAGTCTCCAGAGTCATAGTGCAACACTCAAACCAGTATACTACACAGACTCCAGAGTACACATACTCTTCTAAGTACAATGAAATCTAGTCAAATTGAGGGTGTGATGTACTCCTTACCATGGAGGCTATGACCGCTGTGACACATGGCATGAATTGAATTTCTGTTGGAACAAGGCTTCTGGTAAAGGGCAAGGTGGCATCTCTGGTGAGTTCAACTCTTCCACACCATGCTAAAGTAATGACTTACCATTGATCTGTAGACTGCTTAGGATGGCTGTGTGTCTTCCTGCTTTCCAGAGGAAAGTCCTCTGTTGGAGGTGTTCAAATATTTGAAAATCCAAATTTAAAACCTTGTTTAAAGTTAAGGAACTATAAGAAGGAAGAGGTAGGACCCTGAAGTTGCCCATCAGCCATTAGTACCTGGAAAAGATAACTGAGCCAACATACAGGTCACCTGTAAAGTCTATACCCTCTATAAGTCGACTTCATGTATAAGTTGAGGGCAGGTTCAGGGGCCAAAAGTATGGATTTTGATATGACCCATGGATAAGTCAAGGGTAAAACTTAGGGGCATGTAATAAAGGAAATTTAAAGGAAAACAATGCCAGAGAACCTATTAAATTCCGTCAGGCATGGACACCACTAGTTTCTTACCCAGGTATTCAAAAAGGCCAGAAGCGGTACAACGGAAGAGAGAATTCGGTGCTTCTTTTAGCTTCTCCTGGGATGGACTACACTCTCACCTTTCACCACTTTACTCAGAAAAGTAGATGGTTAATTTTTTTTTTTATAAGTGTATCTGCTTTACGTAGAACTTCAGCCATAGTTCCATTGCCCTGACAACCAGGTTGAGGAATGGACACCAGGTGGGTGCTCATGTCTTATGCAAAAGGCTGGCATGAGTGCCCTTTAAAAACTATTTGTTTCTGCCAGGAGAGAAAGACTAGAGCCGTGGAAGCCCTTGGCAGGCCCTGTCTGTCTCCTTCACATCTTATCAGAGTGGAAAGCCCCCCTGAACAGGCAATGGAGCAAGTCATTAATCTTGCTTGCAAATGGAAGGGGTTAAGGAGAAAGTGGGCGCTGAGACCTAGGGAAGACAGAGAGCAGGACTGGAGGGTGTGGATTCTGCAAAAGGAGAACTCACGGCTACCTAAGAGTGCGTCCACACTGTAGAATTAAAGGAATCAGACACCACATTAATGGCCACGATTCGGAAACAACGCATGGGACCCAAGGTGGTTCCCAAAAAGGCTGAAACAAGATTTTCTTGGGATGCCTAGACTCTGTTCCTCGAGGCTCAACGGAAGTTTTAAGAGTCTGCAATGCTAGAAATTGGGGGGCTGAAGGAACATTTCATTGGAGGGGGAGAGAATCCTTATTTGCAGAGGCAATGCCTTCTTTTTGTCACCCC